GCAGCACAAGTGGTTAGAAATGAGGTCAGAGGAGCTGAGGGAATAAGCAGATTAGTCCTGCTTAGGGTAGAGAAGAGATAAATGTGTAGATACCTGAGGAAAACAAATCATGGAGCAAATGTTGTGGAATATATTTATTCCAGAGGGAAGGAGCCTGAGAGAGGAAAAGGAAGGATTTGTGTTTGCAGCCTCTTCTCCCAGAAAAGGAAAACACCCAACTCATTTTTAATTGGTGAAAATAAATCCTGCTCTGACAGAAAATTGCTGTAGAAGAATGATAAGGATTTACTGAAATTCCATGTAATAATTGCAGCCTAACTGTGCCCTGTCCCTGGGGACAGGGACAACACATCTGTGGGGCAGCATGTCACATCCATGGGAATGACGTGCCGTGTCCATGGGGATGATGTGCTGTGTCCACAGGGACAGTGTGCTGTGTCCATGGGGAAGGTATGTCATCTCCACAGGGACAGTGTGCTGTGTTCATAGGAACAGCATGCTGTGTCCACAGGGACAATGTGCCATCCATGGGGATGATGTGCCATGTCTGTGGGGCTCACTGCTGGGGATTCACTGTTGCTGGAAAATGCAATAGCTGAGGTGTGTCAGCCACAGCCATGAGGCTGTCAATACTCTTCTTGCGTTAACAAAGACAGGAGTCGGTGAGTGAGAGGCTGAGAAATGCAAAACCAAAAGAAATAGAGCAATTTTTTCTTTCCATATGGAATTAAAATGTGTACCATCAAATTAAAACCCTAATAGAATAAACAGCTCAGAAATCCTGTAGGAGAAACTGGAGTACTGGATATATAGAAGGAATTCTTGGCTGTGAGGGTGGTGAGGCACTGGCACAGGCTGCCCAGAGCAGCTGTGGCTGCTCCATCCCTGGGAGTGGTCCAGGCCAGGGGGAATGGGACTTGGAGCCACCTGCGTTGGTGGGAGGTGTCCCTGCCTGTGGCAGGGGGTGGAACTGGGTGATCTTTGAGGTCCCTTGCCACCCAAACCAGACAGGGACTCTATGAAAAACAGGTAACATGTAACTTGGAATGTCACTGGAGCTGTTTGGCCGTGACTGGAGAGTCCTTCCCAGGTTGGAGCAATAAGCTGACAGTGATAACAAGGCTGAACGTAGCTCAGTGCTGATCCTAAAGCTGGGACAGGTAACACCATGTGGCCTTGAGGCTGGGTCTGCATTGGAGATGGAGAGGAGAAAGCAAAGGAGGGTCTTAGTGCTCTCTGCAGTCTCCTCCTGATGAGCCAGACATAGGGACCTGTCATCAGGGTCAACCCTACACACAGCTGAGGTCAACCCACTGCAGAGCTGCACAGTGAAAAGACAACAGGCAACAGAAACAGAAGCTGCAAGAAGGGAAATTCCCACTATATATTAAGAAAAATTTTGCTCACCATGATAATAGTCAAATATTGTTGTCCAAGAGGTTGGCCAGAGAACAACTGGAGTCTTCCTCCTTGGAGTTGTGTGCAGCTCAGTAAGACAAGTTCTTGAGCAACTTGCTGTGAATTTGACTGGGAACCTCCAGAGGTTTCTTCCCACCTATATTTTGCTGTGATGCTGGACCTTAATGAAAGTGAAGAGTGGAAAACAGAAAGGCATAAAGGAGTGATGGAGCTTCTGGAGGGTTGTTCCTGTAATTAGTGCCACTCACCATAGGACTGCAAATACATCCATCAACATTTTTAGGGTGAATGCCTTTGCTCAGCATCTGACTGGGGCAAAATAATTTTAGCCAGAACTCTGAGTTAATTCTTGAAATCGAAGTCTTTCCTCTTCAAGAAGAGCAGTAAGTGGGGAAGGAGGTGAGGAGAGGAGAGAAGAAAGTGTCACTGCCACAGGCAGATGTCTGGTGCTCTGCGTGCAGGAGCAGCCAATGACACATGACCAGAGCACTGCAGTGTGGTCTGTGTCTGCTCAGACGAGCTCTGACTGAGCTGCTCTTGCTCCCTTCGAGCCAGTCTGCAGACACAAACTACCTTTTATTGAATTTGAGTTGCTCAGGGCAGTGCTGGCCCTGCCTTGGTCATGCCACAGCTGTGCACTGCCCACTGCCTCCCCTGGACTGCAGGGAGAGAAAGGAGGGCGTGACTGGATGGATAAAGAGAGGAAATTATTAGAGATCAGCCTAAACCTCGATGAGACCACAACTTTCAGGATCACAGCTTCACCCCTTCGTCTCCCTCTGCTGCTCTGTTCAGATTGTCAGCCTGAGGGGAGGAATAATCTGCTATTTCCTATCAAGCATCATCACCTTGATAAAAGAAGGGACTGGAAGTGATCTCCTGCATCCCCAGCCCCTTGACAACTTTCCCGTAGAAAATCCCTTCTGCTCCCATGTCAGATCCCACTTCAGTGCTGCCTGATCACCTGACTGCAGGTAATCCTGCAGATAGGTGGCTGCACACCTAGACAAGGGGTGATCACATGTGTTTTAGGTGAATATATGTATATACAGCCAGATATAAAGCAACTCCAGGCCCTCTGTCATGCACAGCACTCCCTTTCTCCAAGCCAATGCTTCTCTCATCCCCTCTCCCAGCTGCTCCACCTCAGCTCTTGTTTTTCCCCATTTTGTACTGTTAGCTCACTCCCAGATGCTCTAGAGCTTCTCCAAGTTCACCTGGGCTGGCTGATGCATACAGGCACAGGTTGGTATAATCTGGTCCATGAGCCACATGTGCCTGTTGCTTCCTGGTGATTCTCATGGACAGTGACCCACCACACAGGAGCAGAGGTCCACAGGGACCATGTGCTCGTGGCAGGACTCTGCTGACCTGTGCAGCCTCACTGTGAGGCCAAGCACAAGCACCTAATAAATACAGGCTAATCCTCCATCATGGATGAGAGGATAATTAGGTTGAGTTATGTGGATGAGTTATGATAATTAGGTTCTTGCCCACGTTGCTCTTTTTTGAAAACACTGTGTGGTTGCTCTTCCCTCAACATTAAGCACGGCTAAAAGCCTATTGTCATCTCATCTCCTCAAAGCTGCCCACAGCCTAAATCACAGTTGGAACATTCCCTTCATGTAACTTTCCTTTCAGGTTTTAGGCATTGTTTAATAAGTATTTTTTAAATACAGAACAAGTAAACCAGATTTCCTGTGGGATAAATTTGCAGCTTGGTTCTTGGATCATTTCTTTTCCTTTTTAAACCAGTTAAATGAATCATTTTTGTTATTTGTTACCTCTTCTTCTTTGCCTGCTGATCATCAAGTGATGACCTCTATGTCATTTCTGCAGGGATCTGTGATGTTTGGGGGTTTGGTCATACTGTGTTGTTGTCAGAAAACCACAGAAACACAGAACCCCAAAATTACTTGGGTTGGAAAAGACCTCCAAGACCACTGAGTGCAACCTATGACCCATCACCACCTTGTCAACTACACCAGAACACTGAGTGCCACATCCAATTGTTCACTGAGCACCTCCAGGGATGGTGACTCCACTCCCTCCCTGGACAGCCCCTTCCAATGCCTGACAGCCCTTTCCATGCAGAAATTCCTCCTGATGGCAAACCTGAACCTCCCCTGGCACAGCTTGAGGCTGTTTCCTCTCATCCTGTCCCTTGTTCCCTGGAAACAAAGCCTGACTCCACCTGGCTGCACCTCCTGTCAGGGGTTGGAGAGAGCAGAAGGTCCTCCCTGAGCCTCCTTTTCTCCAGGCTGAGGCCCTCACAGCTGCATCCAATGAGGCCAAGAAAAGCTCTCCATGTTGTTTCTGTGCCATAATAATTAGGAATATTCCTGCTATATTTGCTCCTTCCTGAGATTCAAAGCTACAGAGGACAAAATAACACAAACTCTGTTAATTTCCTCATGCACATGCAGAAATGGAGGTTGAGTTGCTTGGTTTGGGTTTTTCTAAGTAATTTTGACTTAGACTGTCAACTCCCACCTGGTCTTTGCAATCTGTAGTAAAAAGGCTCTTGAAGGAGTGGAGTAGCCAGGGGATATGTCCCTGGAGTTCAGAGCTGCTGAGCAGACAGGGAACTGACCCAGCTGTGCCTTTAAAGCATGGAATTACAGCCATAAATCTTGGCAGACACAAGTCGTTCAGAACTGTCCAGTGAGACATAGTGCAGACACGAGAGTGCTGACTAGGGAATGAATGAGTTGGGGTGATTTTATTTCTCCTAAGTGCAGAGGTTTTACAAACCACACACAGCTTCAGAGGGAGGACAGGTACTTCCTCAAAACCCACAGCAGCAGGCAAGTGTGCTGATGGAGTCTGGCCCTGGATTTAAAACGCGAAGAGCATTGCAATCCTACACCAGACACCCCAATCCTTCCCAAAGTGATGACAGTAAGAAATTGGTGTTAATTAAATACTGGGCAGAAATGAGAACAGTGACTACAGTTAGTCCAGCCCTGCCTCAGGCTGCCCAGAGTAGGGGTGGAGTCACATCCCTGGAGGGATTTAAAAGCCATGTGGATGTGGCACTTGGGGACATGGTTAGTGGTGGCCTTGGCAGTGCTGGGGAATGGTTGGACTTGATGATCTCGGAGAGCTATCCCAGAATTATTGCATGATTTCATGTGTTCCTGAGGAGTTCATTCGTTAAAGAAATACCGGCTGATACCTGAAGCAAACAATGGTATTTGCACGTTTCGTACATCATACTTTTCTGGGCAACCTATGCCAGTGGAAGTGAGCTAATTCCCACTGCCTCTTGTCATTCCTCAGCACCACTGAAGACAGCCTGGCTGCACCCTCTTACTGCAACCATCATTGTTAATGCACAAAAGTGATTCTCCCAATGTCTCCTCAAGGCTAAATAAGCCCAGAAAAAAATCATGCTGTGGATTCTCCAGCAACATCTAAACCTTCCATGTTCAGAAAATTCAAAGGCTCAGCCTGAACATTTGCAAATATCCCTGGAAATGCTCAAGGCCAGGTTGGATGGGGCTTGGAGCAACCTGGGCTGGTGGAAGGTGTCCCTGCCCATAGCAGGGTGTGGGACTGGATGAGCTGTGTAAGGTCCCTTCCCACTCAAACCATTCCATAATTCTGAGATTCTATAGAGAAAACTGTTACGGCATCGGTGCTCACACCCTGGAATGTGTTGCCCCACCAGGTCATGGAGTCTCATCCTTGTTGCTACTCAGAAAAGTCTCTCAAAAGGTCCTTTCCAACCCCAACGACTCTGTGATTCTGAGTTAAGATTAAAAACAAAATCAAATGAACTGTTGGAAGCAATAGAACAAAGAGGAGAAGGTCAAGTTGTCGTACAAAATAGCCACTGAAGAGTTCCCAGAGGACCTCCTGACTGGTGATGTTCCAAGTGAGCAGCAGGTCTCACTCAGGTCTCTGCTGAGTCCTTTCCAGGGTTGTCTTTGCCCCTGAGAACTCAAGTACTTCAGGTCATGGGGGTGATTTCAGGCTTTGGGCAGGATTTCTGAAGAAAGGGATTGAGAACAAGATCATGTTCCTAAAGGCATAGTCCTACTTTGCAGTAAAACAAAGGTTCCTGTGCCTTGGCTGAGCCCCAAGAGCCTCAGGAAGGTCCTGAGGCTGCAGGTGAAACACGTCACCTGCACTTGTCCTCATAGCTGATTGTATCAGGATGTGGGGAGAGATGAGGCTGCTCAGGTCACTCCAAGGTGGAAGGAGTGGTGACAGTGCTGCCACCTGCACTGTGTTCCTACCCTGAATGATGAGATGAGGTCATGGAAGCACAGAATCCCAGACTGGTTTGGGTTGGAAAGAACCAAGGAAAGCTCATCTTAAAGCCTCAAGCTGTGCCAGAGGAGGTTCAGGCTGGACATCAGAAGGAATTTCTCTGTGGAAAGGGCTGTCCAGGGAGGGGGTGGAGTTACCATCCCTGGTACAAAGTGGTACCAAGCATCTGCTCTGTGTCTGGACAGACTGTCTGGGGGTCCCATCTGACACAGCATGAGATAGGCGTATGGATCCACATGCATTTAACATGGAATTGCAGCAGTTAAATGCACTGAAAGGCTTCACTGAACCCCAGCGTCACTGCAAGGTGATGACTTGGGAAAAGGGGAGAACTGGGACCTATGGAAAGCACAAAGAATCAGGATCATCTTCCTGCAGAAACTGTGGGGAGATTTGGCTGAGGAGATGTTTCTGTCAAGCTAGTTCTGAGCATTACTGGAGCTCTGAGAGTTCCACCCAGGGGATGGGGAATGTGTGTGAGGCTCTGTCAGCACTGGGGGGTGATGCCCAGCAGTGCTGTGGGTACCAGGCTGAGCTGTCACTTATTCTAGTCTGTTCTAGACTGAGTCATTCCAACTTCTTCTCTTCCCTAGCTGACCTGTGGGAAGATCAATGTTCCACTAGAAGACTTCATGAGCAAAGGAATAACTGGATCTGTTCCCAGGAATTCTGTCAGTGCCGTAGTCACTGATGGAGTTGGGTTTTTTTCTGAAGGACTTAAAAAAATTGGCAAATAAAATTCCTCCAGTGGGTTATGCAGATGATGAGGCAGGTCACCCTGTCCTCAACCACACACTGAGAGCCCGACTCACCATCATCCACCCCTCGATGTGTCCCAGAGCTCTGGTCCCAGTTCTGCAGCCTGGGCTGTCAGTCTGGGAATTTCGGGGCTGGATTCAACGTGTGTTAGCAGGTAGTGAGTGTTTTGTGTAATCTGCCTGTGTTCTCCCCCCAGCCTCGGCCGCCGACAGACCTGGGCTTCAGCTTTGATGCCAACAAACAACAGAGGCAGCTGATAGCAGAGCTGGAAAACAAAAACAGGTGAGAACAAGCTTTGATCAGGGTTGTTTTGGGAGCAATCCTTGTGCTTTGTTGTTGTGAACCAGATTGTTTTCCCAGATCTTTTGTTGGAGGTGTAGCTGCCTCATTAACTGATTAGGTAGTCATTAGCGTTAGTTAATCATCGGTTTGGATGGGGCTGCCAGTGTTCCTTAGGGAGGGGTTTGATCTTCTTCACTAATCTTGTTAAAATCATCTTAACAAAACCAAGCACCCTGAGCCTTTCACTCTCCTGTTGCTGAGTGCACACCCAGCACGAGGAGAGCCGGGCAGGGGGAGCAGGGAATACATCCACTGGGATGGGGGAGGGAGCCGGATGGAGGGACAAAGTGGGTGAAGTCAACTGGAGAAGAGTGAGATTGCTGGAAGACAAAAACACGTGAAGAAACTGGGAAGGCTGGAGCAGCTCTGCCATGGAGCTAGGCTGGGATAGCTGGGGGTGTCCAGCCTGGAGAAGAGAAGCTCCAGGGAGAATTTAGAGCCCCTTCCAGTGCCTAAAGGGGCTCCAAGAGAGTTGAGACTATTTACAAGTCTGGAGTGACAGGATAAGGGAGAATGGCTTCACACTGCCAGAGGGCAGGGATGGATGGGATATTGGGAATAAATTGTTCCCTGCGAGGGTGATGAGACACTGGCACAGGTTGCCCAGAGCAGCTGTGGCTGCTCCATCCCTGGGAGTGTTCTGGGCTGGGTTGAATGGGGCTTGGAGCAACCTGGGCTGGTGGAATGTGGCAGGGGATGGAATGAGATGGTCTTTAAGGTCCCTTCCAGCCCCAAAGCAACCTAGGATTCTTGCTCCAGAGGGTCACCTGTGGAGCCTCCCCAGGCTCACTGTGTATGCCTGCTCAGGTGTCCCTGTGCCCAGCTGGTGTGGGTGATGCTGCCTGCACAGCCCTGTCCTGAGGTGCCTTTAGTGCACCAGGTAAAAATATTGCTTAAGGATAGTTTGGAGGAGAAGCAGTTCCTGGAGAGCGGGGAACAGCTCCATCCTGGCACCATCATAGCTGCAATACTCTACCAAGAGGCCTTGCAGGTATTTGGATTTATTCCTGGAGATCCCGGATAAGGGAGATCTCAATCAGGGTTGGTATGAAGCCCTGCCAGGAGAGCAGCTCAGCAGTTTCACTGCAGAGCAGGGGAGCAGGAGATGAGAATCTCTACTCTCAGAGGGTTTCATTCCCACTCTAATAAGAGAGTCCTTGGGAGAAACGTTCCCTCCCCTCTGGCTGCACAGAACACAGCGACCTCAATTGTTCTGCTGGCTGGTCTCCTTCCCTTTGGGAGAGCCCCCAGGTTTGTTCCTGTGAGCTGTTCTTTATTCTTGCCAAGATCCCTGGGTAAGTTGTGTGGTAAGCTGCCTGGTTTTGGCAGTGCTGCTCCAGAGCCCTTCCAGCAGCACCTGCAAGGCAGGTTGTGCTGAACATGGAACTCTTGTCCTCTTGGAACAGCCACTGAGCCTGTTCTGTGTGAAAGGCTTTGGAGAGACACTGCAGTGAGTGATTTCATGCTTATTAAGTAGTAAATTTTCCATGTGTCTTGCAGCAATTCCTAGGTCTGTGCTCACATACCTGCTTGGGTGTGAGTCTGTGCAGCCACACATGAACAAAATTGCTGTGCTTGGACTGGGAACTGACAGAAAGTGCCTGAAGGGCTGTGAAAGTGTTTAAGAGCAGCACACATACTGACCTTTTCCTTCTTTTATCTCCCCTCTGTTATTTCCATAGGGAGATACTTCAGGAAATTCAGCGGCTCAGGCTGGAGCACGAACAAGCCTCTCAACCTACCCCCGAGAAAGCACAACAGAACCCAACACTGCTGGCTGAGCTCAGGCTTCTACGGTAAAAGGAACACCTGGGTGGTGTGGGATGGGTACGAGGGCCTGGCAGTGCTGCTGGAAGTAGGAGAAGCAGCTCTTGGCAATCTCAAAGGGTCATTTAAAATGCTGAGTTGTGAAGGCTGAGTCAGCAATTTGGCTTTTAAGTGGGTTTAGAAGTAAATAAAAACATCTCTTAGAATGAATCCTGTTTGCATAGTTCAGAGAAGTGTTTGTAAAGAAGAACCCAATAGGAAAAAGTAGCAGAGATGGCATTAACTGTCATTAGAAAATAAACTGCTCATCATTTCTTGTCCAGAGGAGCAGAACCAGTTATTTGAGCCAGTTATTCGATTAGTCAGAGAAACTCTCAAAAGTCAGACCTGCAGGTAGTCTGACATAAATCCAGAGCTGGAGAACCACCTCCAAAGCCTCTGTGATTGAGTTTGCATCTAGAAGTGACAAGGTAATATCGTCAGTATTTCTAGAACCAAGAGTTTATTGTTGGGTGGTCCCAAGGCCGTTGTCTGGGTCAACAAGGTCAAGTGCAGGTCCTGCCCTTGGGTCACAGCAACCCTGTAGAGGTGCTCCAGGCTGGGACAGAGGGGCTGGAGAGCACCAGGCAGAAAGGGACCTGGGAGTGTGGAGAGACAGAAAGCTGAACATGAGCCAGCAGTGTGC